ACTCCTTAAAAATCCAAATATTTTTTAGTATAAATGCTGCTCTTCTAAAAGAAGGAAAAAGCCACACTCAGAAATGTATCAAATAGAAGGGGGACCTGCTTGTACACATTTACCTGACGACCACTCTGAAGAGATCGTTAAACATATTTTCCAGAAAATATGTTAAACTTTTTATTTTGAATAATTTTTGACTTGCAGAAAAGTTGTAAAGCTGTACAGAGAGTTCCCGTAGACCCTTCGCTCACTTAGCGCCGATACCTTACATAGCCGCGGTGCGTGTGTCAGCACTAAGAACTCAGCACCAAGAATGCAGCACGCTGCAGACCATGAGCGGATTTCCGTTTATCCGCTGATGCTCCTTCCGCTTTGATCCCGCCCAGCATGTCACACGGCATTTACCACCGTGTCTCCTAACTTCCCTCCGTCTGTGACACTCCTCAGTCCTTTTTCTTTCATAGCCTTGACATTTTTGAAGAGGAGTGGCCAGTTATTTTCTAGAATGTCCCTTCATTTGGGTTTCTCTGAGGTTTTCTGATGACAAGAAATGGCTATCGGATTTTGGGGAAGAACAACACAGAGGCGAAGTCCCCTTCTCTTTGCGTCGCGTTGTTCTCATTGCGTCATGCCAGGGGCTCGAGATGTCTGTATGTCCATCTTGGTCACTTGGCTATGGTGGTGTCTTCCAGGTTTCTTCACTGTAAAGTTACTGTTTTTCCCTTTCTGTCCTCCATGGGTGTGAAGCCAGTCCCTGTGTCCAGTCCACACTCGAGGCAAGGGAAGTTGAGCTCCACCTCCTGCAAGGACGTGTGTCAAGAATTTGAGGACATGTTAAAAACACCACAGTAATTAATATTTTAGGGGAGACATGCTAAAGCTATGCAAGTACCCTGGTTCTCCTTGAACTGGTGCTAAGTGTGCATTCATCAGTGAGTTTTGCTTGCAGCAGGTTTTACTACGGGATACAAATGGCGATTTTCCATTTCTTTCGGTGCTTCTCCATTTATTATTTGGAATTCTTCTGTAAGGAAGAGCTGTCTCCTTTTCCTTATTTATTCACTAACTTCTTGATATCAGTATGGATCCATGGATATGGATTTTTTTTAGTTTTCGATCATATTGTTGTTTATTTTGTTGCTAATATTGCTCAGCAGTTGTGTGTGCAAGAGAGAGAGAGAGAGAGAGAGAGAGAGAGAGAGGGAAAGGGAGAAACTGTCAAAGCTATGCCAAAATGTGTGTATACTTCAAAGGGCCAAGGAGATATTGAGGGAAGAGAACAAGGTGGAGTATGTGTCTATGGCTGTACCACCCTGAACGTGCCCGATCTTGTCTGATCTTGGAAGCTAAGCAGGGTCAGGCCGGGTTAGTACTTGGATGGGAGCCTGCCTGGGAATACCGGGTACTATAGGCTTTTATTCCTTGAAAAGGAAAAAAAAAGGGGAGGATTTATACACCAATTCTCAAGATTTACACTAAAGCCACAGTGATTAATACAATATGGTATAATATTAACACAAGGACAGACAAGGAGACAAAGGAAGAGAACAAACAGGCACAAACTGATCTGCTTGTGGATTGTCACTGATTTATGACAAAAGTAACCTTCCAATGCAGTGAACCCCGGTTAATCTTTTCGTTAGATGGTGATGGGTTCGTTGGATATCCACATGAAAAAAAAAGCTCCATGATCCCTACTGCACACCACACACACATTGATTAGAGATGGATCACCAACATCAGTATGAAAGGCAAAAATATAAGCTACTTGAAGATGGCGTATCTGCCTAATTTCAGGGTAGGCAAAGATTTTTTAAACAAGGGTCATAAAGCGTTAACCATAAAGAAAAAGACTGAAAAATTTGGATTACATTAAAACCTGGATCTTTAAAACCTAGGGCTTTTATTCTGATTAAAAATATCAATAAAAGAATGAAAAGGCAAGCCACAGATTGGGAGAACTTGTCTGTATGCACATATCTGACCAAGGTTTC